TAGGTACTTAAAAATCAAAAGTAATAAACTTTACGACTCAAACAAGGTGTAAGTCCTTTCAATTGCTCAATACCTGATACAATTGATCATTTCTCACCTTGCCAATTCATACCTTGATAAAATAAATCACCACGAATGTAGACTTACAATGATAAATCTGAATTGTAAATTTAACCGTATAACACAATCCCCTTATCTATCAACATTAGCTTGTACCTTGAAGTTTTTATGAATTCATGGATCTTCGCTTATCATTGGTCGCATCTCCATCGATCATAAAATATCTTTTGCTAAAAATTAAATCGTACTCATTACTAAACTCAAAAATAAAACAAAGCACTTATAATCACACTCGAGCTAATGTCTGTACACTCATTTCTCATGTCTTTTTCAATAGTTTTTAACCAATCTCATGGACCAGTGACACTATTACCATAGCCACAACAAAACCAATGAAATCACTCATCTGTGAACCCAATTATCTACCCGTCTGAAGATACCTCTTTAGCCTTTGCAATCAAATAAGTATTCTTGCTTTCGCCTCTCTCTAAAGGTTGCATTACATCCTACTATTTTTCTTCATTATTACTCTAGCTCTTTAAATTCTATTCGAGTGGTGTCCCACCATCTCTTAAAACCTTCCATACAACCACGTTACTAACCAAATATTAGGAAACCACAACCTTAGATACTCGCGAGTCGTAATTACTATACAAGATTCGTTTGACCACAATCTTATTATATAGTTGTGTCCCATCATGATCCATCACGAATTCTTATTACCATTATGCTCAGTCAACCCTGAGTATCAATACAAAGTCAACATTTTCATCAACAAGACATCTCAAACTCAGATATACTCTTCAAATTCAAAGGACTTAACCCAATTTTTATACGCAGTTTCTTACTAAAATTTTTCAATTTCCTTCACCCAAGTATACTTAATGAGACTTTCTTTATCCATAAGCTTGTCATACAGGTATCAATCCACTCCTCTATGACTTAAGATAAAATAACCAGTCCTCATACTACCATCCTTCTTCTTAACAAACAAGATAGGAGCACCCCACGGGGAAGCACAAGGACGAATGAAATATTTATCAAGAAGGTCTTGGATTTGCGCTTTAAGCTCTCTCAGTTCTGCCAGAGCCATGCGATAAGGATGAATGGAGATGGGGCGAGTGTCAGGTTCTAAGTCAATGCAGAAATTTATATCTCTATCTGGAGGCATACCAGACAAATCGGTAGGAAACACTTCCTTGAATTCAGACACAACAGGAATAGACTCAATAGAGGGAGGCTCAACATCAACCTCCCGAATTTGAGCCAGGAATGTTGAACACCCCTACCCCACCTGTTTCCTAGCCTGCACGAAAGATATGACCTTAGCTAGCTTAGACTTGTACACCCTTTCCCACTCTAACTTTTCCCTACCCGAATCTCTAGAGTCACAGACTTAGCATTACAATTAAGCACAACATAATAAGGGGATAACCAAGTCATGCCTAAGATTATATCAAAGTCAGTGATATCCAAAATAACCAAATCAGCTCAAGTCTGAAAACACATAAACAGAGCAGGACAAGCACGTTATACTTGGTGACTATGGGTGACTCTCCAACTGGGTAGAAACATGGATGGGGGCATCAAGCACATCACAAACCGCATCAAATCCCAAGGCACACTTAATTGACACATATGAATATGTAGAACCCGGATCAAACAATACGATAGACATTCGGTCATAGACAAGAATAACACTTGTGACCACTGCATCAGACACCTCAGCCTTGTTCTTGCCAGGAAAGGCATAAAACTGAGCCATGTCATCTTCACGGGTAACCTCCTTGCCTGACGGCATTGCTCCCCTACCTGCATTACCATTTATCCGGCCTCCACTGCCTCGCTTATTTCCTCCTCATATGCACATGTTCTCCATAATTTTAACACACTTAATAACTTAGCCAAGTAAGCATCGCTGCTATTGTAGAAGTCATTTCATGAATCTCTTTGATATACACTCAATCTAGGAAATCACAATAGATATTCTAACTTCAATTGTTGCAACATAATTTAATCATTTACTAAGCAACCCATACATGGTATGATAACAATACTAACTGCATTTTCCAAAGTAATGGTGTTCACTATCTAGCCTTCCCTTACAAAACTTCTTGAATGTTGCTACCTTGGCAAAGTCTTCTGACTTTACCCCCTTTTACCTCCGTCACAAAATCAACCACTTCCTGAAAAGATTTTGCTAAAGAAGCTACCTATAAGCTTGAATCTACAAATCTGACCTTAATCCCTTCACAAATAACAAATTTGCTCTTTTAGATTGAAGCAAAGTGGAGTACCATATTTGGATAAAACACAAACTTTTGCCTTAAAGGCTGCAATAATTATATTATGTTGCTCTATATTAAGGAACTCATTTCTCCTCCTATCCCTCAAAGTTCAGGGTATATACTTCTCTATACATAAAGCTATAAAATGTTTACCAAGTCATGATTAGTGCATTTACTAGTCAGCACTCAACATGAGACCACCACCACATTTTGGTGTCTCCTTTGAACCGGTATATCATAAACTCAATGTCAAATCACTCTACCTTATCCATCTTATGAAGCAGGTCATGACAATCAACAAGAAAATCATAAGAATCTTCAGATTCAGTACCCATGAAGAATGAAGGTTTCAACAATAAGAACCTAATAAAACCCTCATGTTTGTCACTAGTCATTACATGCCCACATTGAATTGGGGAAACATGCTTATTTGGAAGGACACATCCTCTCTTGCTAGTGTTGGTGTTACAAGTTTTGTTGTTGTAGTTCTGACCATACAGTAAAGGAGGAAAGATACCAATGTGTATCACCCAGATACCAATTGGATTCAAGTAATAACACGAAGAAAGAAAGGCTTGAGTTTTCCTAAAGTCTTATAGCCTCTCGAAGAAAAGTACAGACGTTTTCGTACCATTCTACAAGACTATACTAGACTCGTTTTGGTACAATGAGATCAACGAACCTAGGGCTCTAATACAAACTTTGTCACGACCCAGACCGTCGTGATTGGCACCCACACTAACCCCCCAGTAGGAGAACTATTAGTACAACCTAACTAAGCAACTCAACGATAAACTAAACATTTAAAGAAACGGAAGAAAGTTTAAATGTCTAAGAAAAATGCAGTTCCCATAAACTCCGAAAGTTAAACGAAACAACTACCAAACATTTGCGAAAAATAACTCCTAGAACCTGAAAGTCAATGTACCAAAACTCTAATGATCAACCAAGTCTAAGGAAGAGTGGTGCGACCCCAAAAACCAAAAATAACAGCCAAATTGATGTTTGGGTCCGAAAAGAATGGACTAAACAAAAGAGAACCCATGGCAGCCTGGAAGAATTGGCTCACCCTTGAATTTGGTCTCGATTAGTGATCTCCTAAATGAGGTCTGTTAGTAACCATCTGAAGATGCCTTGTACTCAACAAAGAAAGAGCAAGTGAAGTATCAGTACACAACCACAATGTATTGGTAGGATTGCACGTCTATTCCCATAAGCAAAATATACAACGAACAATCACAACAAAGTACGCACACATATATAGAATACAGTTCAGTTATCATTTTAGAGAAACATACAATATTCTATTATCAATGACAAATAGATATAAACAAAACAATCACAAGTAGTTCCCTCATGGAACCCATACCCAAACTGTTAGCACTACAAGAAACAGGATTTATTGTGGCAATATTTAGCGGCAAACCTATTTGTTTCTACAAAAGTTATATATCCAGTGGTGACATATGAAGGCATCGTAGTAGATAAACATTTAGTGGCGAGTTATGTTAACTTGCCGCTAATAGTCGTTGCTAATTCTCAATTATTTGTTCCCGCTAATACCAAAATTTTTGGCTCCATATTCTTCAGTGGAAACATCTAATTTGTCGCATCTAAATGAATTTTGTGTCGACATGACCACTCCTAATAAGTCAATTTATTAATTTAACATAAAAAGTTAAAAGAAAACAAATGAAAATATCTGATAAAAAAATACACACACAACTTTTCTCTCCAAATACTCTTCTTCTCAAATTTTCGCTTCATTTCTCTCCATTAGCTCAACTTTTCTTAGGGATTCTTCAAATTGTCACTCTCAAATCTGTTAAATCACTTCTCATTTCACAAAATGTGAACTCTATTTAGGTAAGTGCTCAAATTTCTTTCTGATGGAATTTTTTTCCACTAATCTTACTTCTATTTCTTTAACCAATTCATAAATTTGTAGCATATTGAAGTGTTTTGAAGTTTTAAGGCGAAAGGTTCTCGAAAATCTACAGAAATCAGAAGTTGCTGGAAGGTTTTAAGAAGAAAGGTTCGAAGTTTGATAATCACTGCAAGATTTTGATGTTTTCGAAGTTTTGAAGTTGTTCAAAGGCTTGTAAGGTGCCACTCATGTTAACTCTCTATTTATTTTTCATATTTTGTCGATTCTGAATCTCACTATTGTTTTTGAGCTATCTCTTTCTCTAGGTTTATTGAAGATTTTTTTTGAAATTCTAGATCTGTAGATGTTGTTAAGTAACTGCATGTTCATATTGATGTCGAAAAATGTACAAAAATTGTTGTTTTAAAAGAAAATTGTAGTTCTAAGTGTGTTGTTATTATTTCAATAGAACTCAATTTCTGTATATATATATATATATATATATGTTAATTTGTTTGAAACCTTCTAAAAAGTTTCAAGAGTTTGTAATCTTTTCCCAGACATAAAAGCTTGTTGGTGATTTGGTTTACTGAAGCTCTTGAAGTGTTATTATTTCAGCTGAACTATAATATTTTCCTTAATTGGAGTTCTTGTTGGTTAATAAATGGCTATACCATAAAGAAAACCATCGTACATCCTCGTGTTTGGACAACTCAGTATGTTGAGCTCTTGATCTTACTAGATTAGATTAACTAAAGTGAAATATAGATACAAATGACATAAGAGTATGAGTCCATGGCCGGCTAAATCTACTTGTATGTAACTTTAGTAAATTGCCTTGAAATGAAGTTCTAATGGTTTTGTTAGTTCTGGAATGTTGAGTTTTGTCTAAAATTACCTTTGTTTGGGTCTCAAGGCTTTCAAATTCATTTCAAGATATCTTCTTACTTATAGTTAAAATGGAGCCTTGGGTGTGAGACCTACTTTTGTCGAGACGACCTCCCCTGAAAGTTTTGTAAGTTACATTAAGTCCAGAATTTTGTTTCTAATTGGGTAACATATTTGGTTTACGTTGGTGGGACCCCAAATTATTTTCGAAGGTCCGATTAAAACTTGGGATTTGAATCATAATGAGCTGGTGCAACACCTGCTGGTCCAGCTGCTCTTGCGGAACCAAGGCTCGATCCTACAAAGAAGTGGTTGCACATGCGAAGGTGACCAGGTCACCAAGCCTCGACCCTGTGAAGCCGTGGTCGCAACTACAACCTCGCCTATGGATCCAAAGTCTGTAATACTAGATTGTATATGTGTAAAACAAATTGCTAGGGCCAAGGGGCTTCTCTGTTTCAGAATTGAGGGGAATTTATCTTCTCTTACAAGAGAGTATTAGGTAATTTTTTTTGTTATTAATGTGAGTGTTCTATTTTGTTTGTACATTTGTTGTATGGCTTCTAAAATTCATTGTAAATCTATAATACAGCTTACTTAAAATATCATGCAGGCGTTTGGACAATATTTGGTTGAAATCTAAGAGTAGTTTGCGGTGAACATGTTGATTATGATATAGCTGCAGTAAAAAAGAAGTATTATGAATGTGTCTGATTTTCCTGAAATTCGTCAAACAAAATGTTGAAGTTGACGCTATTCAAATTCAAAACTCTAAAATCATGGGTGAATTCAGAACCTATTCCTAGACTAGCATGTGATGATGAAAAAGAACATGTTCCTTGCAACAAATGGAAATACTTTTTTGCATATGATATTTGTTTGCATTCACCGAACACATAGATTCATGACACATAATTGTACTCTTTGCTAAATTAAACCTATCCTTTTGCAATCTTAAGTTACCAGATAAACAGATGCATAAGATTGAACATCAGGAGTACTATTCGTAACCTTTTTATCCTCACATTGGTGACCATGAATTTTTAGTAGTGTTATTTATTGCTCCAAGTGAAAAAACATCCATGTGCCTTCAGAAGAGTGAGTTGTAACTGGTTTAGCATTTCCTTGAACCCCTGCACCTCTACAACTGTTACAGGTTGACCAATCCTTTCATTGACATACATGACATTTTTAAAGTCTCTACTAAGAATTCATGGTACTTGTATAGAAGCACCTATAGTCTGTAAAGTTTGTCATGAGCTCTCTTTGACTTTGCTCATTCTTTGCATACACACTAGTGACAATAGCTGAGAAGTTATTACCTCGCCTACAGAGTCAGTCAACACATTTATCCTCGCATTGGTGACCCATTTTCTACTTTGCCATAGCGACAATAACAACAATCAAGTCACTAGTGTGTTCTTCTTTATTTCATTTTTTTATTGTGGAAGTTGGAGAGAGATTTCCTTGGCGATTTCTTGTGGAATTCTATACATTTAGTGGAGAGTAGCTTGGGGACATCATAAATGATGTTTTTCACTCTCCTAAATCCACTAGACCTCGTTTAGATTCAAATTCTTGATATTTATGTTGTATTGTTACTTTTAACTACTTATTTTCTTTTAATATCCTCACAACTTATGTTCCTTTTTTGTTTTGCTGGATTTTTCAGGTCATTTTCCAATCAATCTTGGCCGGATTGTGGTCTACATCTTTCTAGCAAACTTTGATATTTGTGTGTTCTTTGATTTTCAACATTAGGTACGCCATAGCAAGATCACTACTCATTTAATTTTCAATTCTAGTCATAGCCTCATTATTGATATTTTTTACTTTATTTATCCAGATTTCTCTGCCACGCATGATCTCACAATTTTCTTTTCTAGTTGTTTGTTTCCTTTACGCTAAATAATGACATATCACCATTACTGGAAATATAATTCTTGTACACAATTCATGATTTTTTATAGATATATTTCACTGAAAATAAGCTTTTTTTTAAACATAAATTGGTACTTTGAATTGTTGTTTATTCTTTTGGATCTTCATTTTTGGGCAGTAAGAGTCGAACAGATTCCCAGATGGGTCCTCAATTGAATTAATTAATTAATTGTTTTTTT